TTACTTGTTTTAACAGTCATTACTTTGTAAATTAGTGGTGAAAGCTGTTGTACTGTTATTTCATTTAATTTGTATTTCTTTGGTCACAGTTTCTTTTTTTTTTTTAAAGATTTTATTTATTTATGAGAGCCATACAGAGAGAGGCAGAGACATAGGCAGAGGGAGAAGCAGGCTCCATGCAGGAAGCCTGATGTGGGATTTGATTCCAGGGCCCCAGGATCATACCCTGAGCTGAACAGACTCTCAACCACTGAGGCACCCAGGCGTCCCTGGTCACAGTGTTTTAATGTAACATTACTATAATTTTGTTTTCTGCTCTTTCCCCACATACAATTATGACAAACATTTCTTCACAATATCAAAAAAATCTATAAAAATATTTTAATAGCTTGCAATATGTCATTAAAAAACTAAAAAGTGAAAAAAAAAAACCCTAAAAAGTGGAATATACCAGTTTCCATCAAAACTAAGATGTTGGGGCACCTGGGTGGCTCAGTTGGTTAAGCATTTGCCTTTGGCTCAGGTCATGATCCTGGGATGGAGCCCTGCATCAGGCTTCCTGTTGGGCGGGGAGTCTGCTTCTCCCTCTCCCTCTGCCTGCTGCTCCATCTACTTATGTCGTCTTTCTTTCTCTTTCTCTGTCAATAAATAAGTAAAATCTTAAAAAAAAAAAAAAAACAACCAAACTAGGTTGTCATCGATTTAAGACAAACCATTATTTTAGGTACCAGTAAGAAAATAATTGCTGCCAATTAAACTATAACATGTCATTCTTTTTTTTTTTAAAGAATTCCTATTTTAGAGAGGTTAAACGGTGAAGAAATGTTATTTTAGAATTGATGAAAGAGATAGATGATGAATAAACACATCCTTTACCTCTGTATGGGAAACGGCTTTCTAAACTTAAAGATAAAAGAAAGTACATCTTGGGGGGGGGGAAGGAGAGGAAGTGAGTGCTTTCATCATGAACTTTTATGCAGTTTGTGTTTTTGTTTCTTGTTAAGGTCAAAGATCACATAACTGCCAGGGCAGGGCAGCTGGGTGGCTTGGTGAGGTAAGTGTCCGACTCTTGATTTTTGCTCTGGTCATGATCTTAGGATTGTGAGATTGAGACCCACATCGGGCTCCTGGCTCAGTGAAGAGTTGGCTCAGGATTCTTGCTCTCCCTCTTCCTCTACCCCTCCCTCAAAAATGAATACTAAATAAAACATATTTTTTAAAGATTTTATTTATTTATTTATTTGTGAGAGACACACAGAGAGAAGCAGAGACACAGGCAGAGGGAGAAGCCAGCTCTGTATATGTTGGGAGCCTGATGTGGGACTCAATCCCCAGACCCAGGATCTCACCCTGAGCCGAAGGCAGACACTCAACCCCTGACCCATCCAGGCGTCCCAATAAATAAAATCTTAAAAAAAAAAAAGATTACAAAACCATTATATAAAAAAAGATAAAAGACAGTAAAATTAATAAGAGAAAGTATCCATGGCTTTGACTTTATCAAAATTAAAAATATCTTTGTTTCTAATTATTAAAACAGGGGTGCCTGGGTGGTACAGTTGATTAATTGTGGGACTCTTGGTTTCAGCTCAGGTTGTGATCTCAGAATCATTGAGACTGAGCGCTATGTTGGCTCCACTCAGCACTGTCTGATTGAAATTCCCTCTCCCTCTTTCTCTGCTCTTCTCTCTAGTGCTCTATCTCTAAAACAAGTAAGTCTTTAAAAAATAAATATTAGAACAAGTAAAAGATAAGAAAACAGAAAAATATTTTAGGTAGGGATTAATGGCCTTAATAAGGACCAAAAGATCACTGAAGAAAGAAGAAAAAGTGACAATCTATATAACAGGGAGTTGGCTATAAATGTATAAAATTCATCCTACCTCACCAGTATCAAACAGATGCAGATTAGAGATAGGGTTTTTCTCAGTATTACATTAGCAATGATTAGTGGACAGGAAATTTTCAGTGCCAGCAAAACAAGACGTATGGAATCCTCACACACCACAAAGAGGTTTGTGAAGTGCTAGAACCTTTATTAGTGGCCTTCAAAAGATTTAGATCCTTTTGTCGAATAATTTTACTTCTAGAAATTTATCCTAAGTGATCTAGTCTATGATGATCATACAATTACATTTATTTTTTTAAGGACTTTATTTTTAAGTAATCTCTACACCCAATGTGGGGCTCAAACTCACAACCCCAAGATCAAGAATTGCATGCTCCACCAACTTAGCCAGCCAGGTGCCCCCATTCTTATTTATTTATTTTTTAAAAGATTTTATTTATTTATTCATGAGAGACACAGAGAGAGGCAGAGACACAGGCAGAGGGAGAAGCAGGTGCCATGCAGGGAGCCGACGTGGGACTCGATCCCGGGTCCCCAGGATCACACCCTGGGCTGAAGCCTTCGCTAAACCACTGAGCCATCCGGGGTGCCCGCTCCCATTCTTATTACGTTAGAAAATCCTAAGTAAACTATAGAAAAAAATTAGGAAAAATAAACATCTTGGAAGTGTGGCCATATTGTTAAAAGGTAAAAAACATGATTTTAAAAATTTATTTTATTTATTTTTTCTTTTTAAAAATATTTTATTTATTCATGAGAGACAGAGAGGCAGAGACACAGGCAGAGGGGGAAGCAGGCTCCATGCCAGAAGCCCAATGTGGGACTCGATCCCAGGACTCTGAGATCACGCCCTGAGCCAAAGGCAGACACTCAACTGCTGAGCCACCCAGGCGTCCCTATTTTATTTTTAAAGATGTTATTTATTTATTTATTTATTTATTTATTTATTTATTTATTTATTTATTTATAAAATTATATTTATTTATTTATGATAGTCACAGAGAGAGAGAGAGAGAGGCAGAGACACAGGCAGAGGGAGAAGCAGGCTCCATGCACCGGGAGCCCGACGTGGGATTCGATCCTGGGTCTCCAGGATCACGCCCTGGGCCAAAGGCAGGCGCCAAACCGCTGCGCCACCCAGGGATCCCTAAAGATTTTATTTATTCATTCATGAGAGAGGCAAAGACAAGCAGAGGGAGAAGCAGGCTTCATTCAGTCGGCTGTTTCAGGACTTGATCCTAGGACCCCAGGATCAAGACCTTAGCCAAAGGCAGACACCTGAGTTAAAGGCAGACCCTTAACCACTGAGCCACCCAGGTGTCCCAAAAACGTGACTTCTTAAAACACCCTACCTAAAGGGATCAGGGGTTTTCCCCCTCATCTGACCATAAACCAGTGTTCTTTGCTCATTTAATAAGACCAGAACTCTCAAATGCTGTAACCTATTAAGACATTGCCAGATGTTAAAGTTATATCCCAATTAGAACAAAAAATTAGGGGGCCTGGATGGCTCAGTTGGAGAAGCATCTGCCTTCAGCTCAGGTCATGATCCCAGGGTCCTGGGACTGAGCCCCGTGTGGGGTTCCCTGTTCAGTGGGAGTCTGCTTCTCTCTTTCCCTCTGTCTGCCACTGCTCCCCCTGCTTGTGCACTTTGTGTCAAATAAAATCAAATCTTAACAACAAAATATTTTAAGGAGAAGAAACGTCTGGGAGGTGTCTTTGTGATATTCTGGAGAGAGCATCTAAGAGCAAAAAGTGTTCTTTATTTTGAATCCCCCAGAGATAGACCTATACTGTCTGGAAGATTTGGGAGTCCCACATCTTGGTGACTCCAGCCAAATTGCCATTTCCTCTAGCTCTGCTTTCACCTGAGGGCAGGCAGCATTACTCACACTGCCTGATCCTTCTGGGTCCCTATTCCTCCCTCCCCGTTTTCCTTGACAAACAGCTCCTGTTGCTCACTGTTAAACAGCTGGTAATGCTTTCCCCTCGCTCTCGGGGTTAACTGTTGCCAAGACCTAAATGGTCGGCCAAGATCGTTCCCAGGTCCGGCCCTTCGCCACCTCTGGGGTTCCTCTCTTGGATCATGGATCCTCTCTATTCCATGGATGTCTTTCTCTCGTTTTCTCGGACCTGCCAAATCTGGATTTGGCCTCCAATGCCATTGCGCTTGGGCAGGAGCACGCTGCGCCTGCATCTTCCAACATCAGGGAGGCCTACCCTAAGGGCTCCACGTACCTTACTTACTGCTCACGTGTTCATGGCCTGTGTCCCCCGGGCCTGAGCCGCTGAGGACAGGCAGGTCAGTTTCCCGCAGTGCCGGCGGGAACCACGAGTGAGTCTCACGAGTCCCGTACCATGTGCGCACACGGGGAGGCCCGGGGGTCCCGCTTAGCCTCTGAAGAAATAAGCAGGAGCCCACTTGGGGGAGAGCGGAGCCCGGCGCTCACCAGACACTACGGGGGACGCGACATCCGCGGCGTGCACGGCCGGCCTAACCCGGGGTGCCCCCCGGGATGCCGCGGCGAGGGTCGCGGGGGGCGAGTTCGTTAGGGCAAAAGCGGGTGCGGGCCTTAGGCACGGGCACTGGGACCCCGCGCGGGCAGACAGAGGCAGGTAAGAGGAGTGGAGGCACACACACCCCCGGCGGGCTCCTGACCTCGCAGCCCCGCGGAGGGGCCCCGCTGGTCGTGGGCTGGCTCTAGGGAGACAGGGTACAGGCGGCCCCAAGGCGGGGAGCGGCTGTCCCTTCGGGTCGGCTCCGAGCACGGATAACAGGCCAGGACAGCGGTAGGGGCCCGGCCGCCTCCCACAACCCAGAGCTCGGGACTGCCTTACAGACCGTACCCACTGGGAATTGATTCCCACCATTCCCCTCCCCCACTCCGGCGGGGAAGGCGACCGAACGGTTTGCAGGAAGACGCATGCGCCTGAAACTAAAATCATCAACCGCGGAGGCTCCAAGTTCAATAATCGCGGGATGACGCAGGCGCAAGAAAGCAGAGCGGGTTTATTGAGGTGGGGGGGGGGAGACGTCTAAGACGCAGGCGCGTAAGAGCTCGCTGGCGGCGGGGGGCGGCTCAAGAAAGTACGCATGCGTCGGAGCTCCCTGTGACGCAAGGGGGCGGTGCGAGCACTTCGCTGCGCGTGCGCAGAGCTTGTTCAAAGGGCCTTATTTAGGTTGCGCAGGCGCCCGCTGGCCATTTCTTCTCAGCCACGCCGAAGTCGTGTGTTCAGGTGAGTGTTTGCCGCTTGGTGTTTGCCGCCCAGTGATCCTCGAGGATGCCATTTTTGGGAGGATTGCTTACCTCCAGACCTCTGTAGAGCCTGGGGGTGACCGGCGAGGTGCGGGCTGCCGCTTGGAGCCAGGAATAGTTGGCTGAGTAGCGGCGGGGCCGTGGAGGCCTGCAGGCCGCGTCGACTCTATTGTGTGAGATGTCGGAGGAGGCGGAGCGGAAGCGGCCGCCGCCATTTCCTTGCATCCACGCTGGCGCCAGGCCAGGGCCCCCTCGCCTCGGAGCGTCGGCACCGGGTGTCCAGAGCGGCTTTGGGGGCCGGGCCGCTGGCCGAAGGGGTGCTGGGTGTCGGAATGGGCAGGGTTCGGGCGTCCGCACGGGCTCGGCCCCTCTGGGGCGCCGCGGGCCGCCCGGCGCCTCGAGGTCAGAGGGCAGTTTAATTTTGCCTTTTCCTCGTTCTCTGACGCTCGTCGCTCGTCTTGCAGCCTGTGTCGGCCCCGAGACCCAGTAGGAGACGATGATGTTGGGCACCGAAGGCGGAGAGGGGTTCGTGGTGAAGGTCCGGGGCTTGCCCTGGTCTTGCTCGGCGGATGAAGTGCAGCGTTTTTTTTCCGGTGAGTTTGAAGCGGAGGCGGGAGTTGGTGGCCGGGGCCGGCGGTCGGGCCGGCGGTCGGGCGGGGAGGCGGGCGGCTGGGGCGGGGCGGGGCGAGGCGGGCCTGGGGCGCCCCCTAGCGGGGCGCGGGCGGCAGCCGTTCCTGCTGGGCTGCTCGCGCCTGGCGGGCTGCTGTTACGCAATGGAAATTGCGAAAGCCCCGCCCGCCCTCCGAACCCGGGGGGGTGGGTGGGTCCTGCCTCTGGCGGATTTTTTTTTCCTTCTTTACCTACTTTTAAGCCCTAGTCTTTTCTTTTCTTTTCTTTTTTCTTTTCTTTCTTTTCTTTTCTTTTCTTTTTTTTTTGCCCTAGTTTTTTCTATGGCTGTTTTTTCGAAAGGATAAATGGAATTTTTCTTTCCATTTTGAGAAAATTGTCCAATAGTTGGGCAAACAATACTAAACATTTTGCAAATCCTTAAAGTATAACAGTTTATTTCCAATTTCGGTATGCCCTTGAAGTGGGGGCATTCGACTTCAGAAAGTTAAAATGTCCCTTCTTAATTTCAGACAATTTTCCTAATCAAGATTTGGTAATTGTGAAAAGTTCTTGCTCATCTAGTTCTTGATCTGGCTCACTTTACAGTTGACATTGAAGCCCCAGGGAAGTTCACTTGTCTGTGGCTTTTTTCCAGTAAGCAGGTTTCCTGAATAATTTCTACAAAAATGTCCTTATTGTTAATGTGAGTTTAGACTGAGAAGGGTATATTTGGAAGAAATTCACAGGTTTTGGAAGGACACTTGTAGTATTGGCTGAATTTAGCGTTGGTAATGGAAAAGGACCTGTAAAACGAGAACCAAGTACACTGGAAGCCACCTTGCAGTGAGCAAGACTGGGTTTGGCTTCAGCTGTGCAACTGGAGCATTTTAGCTTGCTAACATTGATCCCCTTTTAGGTGAGTATTGGCCCTGCAATTTGGATTCGCAGGAGAAATTGTATGTTGCTGCTAGTAAGGTAAAACCATCACGTGCCCCAGATCAAAACTTGAAACCAGACTCCGTGGCATAAAATTAGACTCCAGACTTTGTTTATGAGAAGTTACTAAAGATGTTCAGTGGAGAGGACTTGGAGATAACTTTAAGAAACTGCTTTGGCTATTGGATTTTCCTGATGTAATGGGAACATGACTAGGGAATAAGAAAGTTTGGGAGAAGATAAATGTTTAAGTACTGGCAAGCAGCCCTGGGAATTGGTAATATGAGTCATTCTGTGCTTTGCAGAAACTTTACTTTGTAGCAGGGGCATGAACAGGCGTTTCATCTGTATCACCCAGAGGTGGTTTTTTGTTTTGTTTTGTTTTTTTGTTTTAAATTCCGTATTAACGGTTGTTTTCTTTCCAGACTGCAAAATTCAAAATGGGGCTCAAGGTATTCGTTTCATCTACACCAGAGAAGGCAGACCGAGTGGCGAGGCTTTTGTTGAACTTGAATCAGAAGATGAAGTCAAATTGGCCCTGAAAAAAGACAGAGAAACTATGGGACACAGATATGTTGAAGGTTTGATTTATGTTGCCCTAGTAACAGTAAATAAAACATTAAACACATAGAGCTCTATCTTACCCCTTCTGAATTTTAGGTATTTGACCGCATGGAAATGGTCATCTAAGGGAGTTTATGGCAGCTCTTCCTAGATTATCTAAAGACCCAGGAAGTCTGAACTTTGTTCTCTAACTTTCCAAAATTGACTAATTCTAAGCACCTCTTTCAGTATTCAAGTCAAACAACGTTGAAATGGATTGGGTGTTGAAGCATACTGGTCCAAATAGTCCTGACACGGCCAATGATGGCTTTGTACGGCTTAGAGGACTCCCCTTTGGATGTAGCAAGGAAGAAATTGTTCAGTTCTTCTCAGGTATGTAGTTCTGTTTGATGCTGAGCAGTGAGTTCTGGCTAGTTTCTGGCAACTTGTGATTTAATAGACCTTAAAGTCGAGTAGCTTAGATATTTAAACAAGTGTGAGTATATGCAGATGAATTAAATGTTTTCTTCTTCCTGGAGACCTTCAAATAATTTAAGCCCATCTTAAAGGTGGAAATTAAGTACTTCCGATATGCTAACTTTGCCTATACTTAGTGTTGTAGTTAGAGTAGATCTTTAAGGATTGTCCTCAACAGCTTTACTTTCCTCACAATGCTGTTCAGCAAAGTGTACTTCAAGTTAAAGGTAAGATCACTTAACATTAGATTAGTATCAGTTAGGTTGTTGTAATTTATGGCAAGTGCCTTTGTCTTAAGACACATTTGGGTCTTGGGCCCAGAAATGTCTCTAATGGTCTAATTAATTTTCTGTAAGAAGAAGAAAAAACTTATGGAAGGAGCTGTTGGTTTTTTTAGCCAGGGAATTAAATATAAACCAATCTAATGTAGGAGTAGTTTGAATGTAGTCTCAGTATCTGAGATACAGAAAGTGTTTTGAAATTGTTCTGGGCCTAAAGTATTTGAATGTTTTTATGCTGAAGAGCTGATAAAATTGCATGTTTAGCAGAATGTTAAATCATATTTTCAGTAACTTTTAATATACATGATGTGATAAAGTGGAATTAACAAGAAATCCTTTCATGGTTTAGTGTAGTATGTAATAAAATCTTAGAAATGTATCAAGTCCTAATGTTTTGCCAGAATTTTTGAAATCAAGTCTGTTTTGATTGTTTTTGTCTAAATTGGTGAGAATTGAATGCTATCTGTCAACGTTAAATATGAACATAATTTCATATCTTCTAGGAAAGTGCTTTAAGCCCTTTTTGTAAGCTTGGGAATGTATCCACGGAAAGGATTTTTCATAGACGGAAATTCCAGAAGTGAATCATACTACTGTTAGAGCATAAGAGTGCATGATTGTGCTGTGTAGATCAGTTGTTTGTTGAAAAGTTTAGATTGTATGTTTGTCAATTACATGACTTAAGCAATGTTTCAATTTGTATATAAAATGTTTGAATGTATATTTTTTTTAAAAAAAGTTGAAGTTCCACTAACTTAAAACATTGAAATATAAAATGAGGTAAAAGGTGTGTTTGAAGTTTAGTAATTGTTGTATATATTGCTTGAAAATTATATTAAATTCTTGTGTAAATCTCAACATTAATTTGCATAGATTAGAGTGTTAATTGTTATTCTTAATGCATCCTGTGTTCAAGTGTTTTTGTTTTTGTTTTTAACATACTATGCCATGGGGTGTGTTAAGAATTGAGTTGTACTTTGTAATAATGGAACTTCATATTACAATGCATATGTAAACAGTACTGTTGAAAGCATACCGTTCACCTAAAGTTAAAATTCTGGTTTATTTAAAGCTATAAGAAGAATCATTTCTGGGCTTGTGATGTTAATATTGCCCCCCTACTGGGGTTATTTGTCCTTGGGTTGAAGGGTTGGAAATCGTGCCAAATGGGATAACATTGCCGGTGGACTTCCAGGGGAGGAGTACGGGGGAGGCCTTCGTGCAGTTTGCTTCACAGGAAATAGCTGAAAAGGCTCTAAAGAAACACAAGGAAAGAATAGGGCACAGGTGGGGATGGATGGTTGGTTGGATTTGTCACTTTTCTTATGGTAAACAATTAAATCCATATTCTCTCTGCTTAGAAGAAAAATATATTTTCTAGTCCCCACTAATTGATGTTTGCCACAATTTTCAAATTTTCTTTTAAAGTCCCATCATACATTGAGATGAAAGTTTAGGTTTTAAAATTGCCCCCAGTTAATTTGATCTCCCTGTCAAATATTGTAAGATTCCTAATTCTAATCAATAGAGTTGAGAGACTATGGCTTTAAAAAAATGTTAATACAAACCTGGCTTTAGCTGTAATAACACCCACCTAGTAAATTAATATTACCATAAGAAAATGTGATACTTTCTGATCTTGTTTTTAAAGTTGAAATGCAACAAACTTTTTCTTGCTGTATAAATATTCTGCATATGTATTAATAAGCATAGCTTTCAAGAAATTGTCACAAAAGGTTTTATTCTCTTTGCTTGTGACTATTTTTCATTGAAGCATGCGCTTACCTATGCTGATTCCTACTAAAAGCATAGGCCTGGGGTATTACTGGCGAAATGAAATGTGTAGTGTGGGCTAGACTGTTGGTGGAGGCTGGCTTTTTAGCCCACTTGCTATACATGCTGCCAATGGATTTAAGACCTGAAATGTTGAAAGTTGAGTGGAACTCTTTCCCTCCTAAGACATTTATAGTACTCCTCTTTACCTCTAAGGTTGGGCTCTGCCTCAGAGGAGTGTTTTACTCTCTATATAAAGTTTACATTTATAAAAATCTTACATTTGAGTGAATTTCTGGTCATTGCCTATGCAAATATAAGAAATCTGGCTTTAAATATTAGTCAGTTTCATGGCTATGACTACATTGTTTTCTTGTGTAACTAAATACCTGTATGAAGTGGACTAATGTTTTCTCTCCCCTCCCCATCCCCTTCCCTCATGAACAATGCTTTAGGTATATCGAAATCTTTAAGAGCAGTCGAGCTGAAGTTAGAACTCACTATGATCCACCACGAAAGCTTATGGCCATGCAGCGGCCAGGTCCCTATGACAGACCTGGAGCTGGCAGAGGGTATAACAGCATTGGCAGGGGAGCCGGCTTTGAACGGATGAGGCGTGGTGCTTATGGTGGAGGTACGTGAGAATATGCAGGCATCACAGGGTCTGTTCCTCCTGTAACTGTTTTCATTTGATTGATTGTACTTACTGTTTTTCAGGTTATGGAGGCTATGATGATTATAATGGCTATAATGATGGCTATGGATTTGGGTCCGATAGATTTGGAAGAGGTAAGGTAAGAATTGAACTTCTCAGCTGAAGAGTACTTACACTCTTGTCAATCTAGACCTCAATTACTGTTTTTCAGGAATGTCTGATCACAGATATGGGGATGGTGGCTCTACTTTCCAGAGCACAACAGGACATTGTGTACACATGCGGGGATTACCTTACAGAGCTACTGAGAATGACATTTATAATGTAAGTGTAAGATAAATTTATAAGTTTTCTGTTCCAGGATAGCAGTAAAACTTCAGTCTTAACTCTAAGTGAAACATTAAGCTGTAAATTGTTTTTTTTTTCTTGTAACAGTAGATATTTGACTTTGTTCTCTGAAATACCTTGTATTTAGTTTTTTTCACCGCTTAACCCTGTGAGAGTACATATTGAAATTGGTCCTGATGGCAGAGTAACTGGTGAAGCAGATGTCGAGTTTGCAACTCATGAAGATGCTGTGGCAGCTATGTCAAAAGACAAAGCAAATATGCGTAAGTGTGGTTTTGAGTATCTTGGGGTCTCTTTTAACAGTGACCAGACCAATGTTTGTGTATAGAGAAGTAATAAGGATGTGTGAGAAATTTATTTTCCAATAATGCGTTAGTTCTTTGGTGTGTGTTTAAAAAGCATGTGGGTTTTAAAAATTAATATGATTAGTATGATGGTAACACAAACTTGAAGTATATTCTTAATTGACAAACGTAAAACAATTTAGGTGAATGTTTAAATCAAAAGGCTGGTTTTTGAAACCAGTGTAGTTCTTAATCCTCTGAGAAGCAGCTAGAATTATTTTTACCAAAAGTATTTGAAGTTCACAGATCTACTTGTTTAAGAACTTAAAGTGCTTATCTTTTTTTCTTTCACCAACACTTTCAAAATTTTTTTTTTCTCATTTCAGAACACAGATATGTAGAACTCTTCTTGAATTCTACAGCAGGAGCAAGCGGTGGTGCTTACGGTAGCCAAATGCTAGGAGGCATGGGTTTGTGTAAATATCACTTTAGTGTCTTTTTTTAAGCTAACCTTGTATGCCTTTTCTCTCATTTCAGAACACAGATATGTAGAACTCTTCTTGAATTCTACAGCAGGAGCAAGCGGTGGTGCTTATGGTAGCCAAATGATGGGAGGCATGGGCTTGTGTAAATATCGTTAGTTTTTTTAAAAACCAAAACATATCTATATAAGTCAATTATATAAGTTTATATTTTAATGAGTTTAGCATAATGCAGTTAAGCGAAGAGGTTTCAATTTGGATTTTGTGTCTGGCTAATTTAAATCCTTGTGAGTTAAAATGTTTAGATAACTAGTTTTAAGTAGTTTTGGGGGAGGGGACTGCGGAAACTAGTTGAATTATCTTAAGTATGAAGTAGAAGTCTGAAATTAATGATTAGTTAAAAGCACAAGGTCAAAGTTTTGGGCATGGTTAGTTGGGTATAATTAGGTGTTCGGTGATCAACTGTATGACATAACCTTACTTACAAATTATGGGGGAAAACCCCACTAAATCCAGTTAAGGAATATTCTAAAATCTTCTCAATGCCTCTACCTACTGGAATCACGTGAATTTAGTCCTGCTGATGTGCATATACTGTTAGCCTTTTGGTTTATAAATGTTTGTCTAGTTTATATGGTGGATAGAAAGGTAGTTTGGTCATAGGTAATAGGCAGAAGGAGGCAGAGGGTTATAGTGATATCAGATCAAGACTGGAAAATCATAGACTTAGAATTACAAGCCCGGTACCACCAGGTACCACATTACATATGGAACAAGGTTCTAATGTTCTCTTAACTTAACAGCAAACCAGTCCAGTTATGGTGGCCCAGCCAGTCAGCAGCTGAGTGGTGGTTATGGAGGCGGCTATGGCGGCCAGAGCAGCATGAGTGGATATGGTAAGCATGTTTTTTTATATACTTGAAATAAGTTTTAGGCAGGTTTCTTAGTTGGGAGAATATGCAGGCTCCTTTTGGTAAAACTGGGTTAATACTTGCTTTTGATCCAAAAGTAACTTGTTCTTATTAGCTTAATTTTCAGAACCAATCATGGGGAGGGGGAAGTGTTACAGAAATTGAAAATAGTCATTGCACTTGGAATAATGTCGAGCCAGAAAACATCTGCCTCCGTTTATTAAAAAATTAAACTGTTTTTTTTTTTTTTTTCTGTCTTTGGTTAGCATTAAATCCATTTTATATGGAGGGAGAATTTTAAATAGTAGAATGGTGGTTGGGTTTAGGACCGTATTTACTAGTCAGGTTTATCCTAGGATTGCTTTATTTTTATTTTTTTTCAATTGGTCTAAAGAATGGTGATTTTGGTATTATAGTCTTACCCTACAAAATCCTTTTGCAGACCAAGTTTTACAGGAAAACTCCAGTGATTTTCAATCAAACATTGCATAGGTAAATATTTTCTCAAAAAATATAAATTCCCAATAGCAAATACTGATATGTTGTAATATTTCTATAGCAGTCAATGGCTCTGACTTAACTCCATGGAGGCTGCCATTTTGGGCACAGTGAGTTGCCTTTAGTCCCAGCTTTTGTCATCTCACTTCCTGCCCACCATGAATAGGAAAAGCAAGAGACTGCCCCTGTCCTCCCTATTCATATATGCCATTCGATGGACACATTGTGAATGTTTATGGTAAAATTTTTTTTTTTTAATGCCTTGCTTAGCTTTAAAAACAACATGAAGTAATTTTGCAATTTTTGAAAAACACTAGTTTTCCTTTAAACTTAATTTTCTATGTTGATCCTGAAGCATCCAAATAAATGGTAGCACAAGAGTCTGGCAAGTTGGTACTGCAGAGAGAAGGGGTTAATTGAGACTTGTTTGGAGTCGGGAGTCCCCTTTCCCAAACATGCTTCTCGCCACTTGGACAGCAGCCATTTGTACTCGTATACTTTTTAAACTTTTTCTTGGAATGCTATATTTTATTAGCCTGTTAATCTGATGATTCTGCTGACTTGTCACCTGGATCTCTCTGCAGGCAGCCAAGGAGCAGTGAGCAGCAGCTACTACAGTAGTGGAAGCCGTGCATCTATGGGAGTGAACGGAATGGGAGGGATGTCTAGCATGTCCAGTATGAGTGGTGGATGGGGAATGTAACTGATCCTGATCACTGACTCTTGGTCAACGTTTTTTAAAGAAAAAAAGTTTAACAGTTTTGCAATACAAGCTTGTGATTGATGCTTCTTACTCTAAGTGGGAATCAGGATTGTTTTAAAGACTTAAGGTTCAGTATTTTTGAACACAAACATTCATCTAGGATGTAACACCTGAGTAAACTAGAACTGTTAGACAATTTTCAGCTTTTCTCTAGTTCTATTGTAGGATGTACTTAATAAGCAGCAAGTGTATTTAGGTTAAAGCAGTTGAATTATGTTAAATGTTGCTCTTCTACCACGTTAAATTGAACAGTTGGGATGCATGTTGAAAGACATGCTTTTTTGTAAAACGCAATATAGGAGCTGTGTCTACGATTAAAAGTGAACACATTTGGCATGTTTGTTAATTCTAGTTTCATTTAATAACCTCTAAGGCACGTAAGTTTAAGCTTTTTTTTTTTTTTTTAAGTTAATGGGCAACTTTGAGACGCAACACCATACGTTAGGATTTTGGTCTTGGTGTTTGTATGAAATTCTGAGGCCTTGATTTAAACTTTTCCTTGTATCGTGATTTCCTTTTAGGTGTATTGCGCTAAGTGAAACTTGTCAAATAAATCTTCTTTAAAAACTGCACTTTGTCTTGTCTGTGCTTCAGTGTCATGTGGACTGTTTCTTGGTGCTCTCTTCCTGCCTGGGGCGTAGGTGACAGTGGCCCGTGTCTCTGGCTGTGGCAGGAGGCTCGGCAGTTGAGGCCATTGTGTAGAGGTCGGCCGACTCAACTGAAGGTAAATGTCACTTTTGGGCCCTTGTGGAAGGGCTGTGTGATTGGCCTGGCTGCACAGGATCTAACCCAAATTGTCTAAATGGCTGCGTGCTTGCACAAAACAAAGGGAGCAGTGGGAAGTATGCTCACTGCATGTTGTGCATGTTCTTGGAGTCCTTTAGCAGTGTGGCTAAGGAGGCAGGGCCATAGGCAAGGGGATCCTGAGGAGGAGCTGCCCTTCCCACCCTGGTGGCCTCTTGAAGTTTATTGCTTGCATGGGGTGGGGGTCCTTCAGAAGAACTAGCTTATTCAGTGATTTTCAGATGAAGTTCTTCGATCTTAATATTTAATTCCTAAGGACCACAAACTGAGGAGCAGAATTGATTCCTTATGTGACGTTTCTGAGGTAGAATACCAAATCCTAGAAAGGACTAGTCGTTATAATGCAGTAATTGAAATCCGTTTGTTTTGGCAGAACTCCCGGTTACTCTTGAATAGATGGCACTAAACACTTTTAAAGGTATGGTCCCCCCCCAAAAAAAACAAGAGGTATGGTCCCCAAAGAATTCAGTAGATCCTAGATCCTAGTAAAGACTCCAAGCTTGAGCCATATTGATTTTAAGCCATTTTCACTTCACTGGCTGTGAACAGTAAAGATGTTCTTTGATCTGGGATGATTAGGATCCTAGCTGTTTTTAAAGTGTCTACAGATGGCAGCATTTCAGAATGTTCCACAGAACTGTGTGAAGGGTTCCAAGGATCCTGCCAGCCTGCTGCAGGCCCTCAGAGGACTGGGTCCCCCCACCCCCCCATCGGCTCGTGGTGGAGAAGAAAGGTCTGCAGTCAGGCTGGGGTACAAAAGTCTTGTACTTGGAATGTGTCCTGTAGGCTGTCTTTTGGGTTAGAGTAACTTTACAGGGGAGGTGTAGTTCTGGGGTTGCTATTCAGCTGTGTTCCAGGCCTAGTACTGCCCCTGGGATCCTGCATGGAGTTGTGTGGGGAGCCGGCTCATGGAGGGCTCCTTCCCCAGGCCCATCAGCTAACTTGGTTTATGGGAGGGTTATCTGTGTTACAAAGGCCTGTTGGAGGAAGAGAAGGAACTAGAAGTGGGAGGAAGGGTAAGTTCATGCAGAAAGAACCATTTAGCTTTGGAAAAGTGAGTCTTGGGACCATTCTGCTTTTTTGGAACCTTGTGTTCCATCGGCCTGCAGTACTTGTTGGCCAGGACCAGAACCCCTCCAGATGCTGTGGGGAGTTGGCCCCTGGGTAATGAGTGGGTGATTCAGCTGGAGGAACACTGGCCTTGGCCATCTGTGGTCCCTTGTTGCCCAGGGTCGGGAAGGTTGCCAGACCAGTCTGCATGCAGGTCCCAGAGTTCAAGTGCATATCCGATGCATGAGTAGGAAAGTTCTGTTGCATGCTGCTGAATATTTGTAACTGGCTCTGTGATCTTTGAATAGTGCTTGTCTAGTACTTGTAGGTGGGGGAGGGAGCAGGAAAAGAAACCTGGGTAGGATACAGGCAAGAGCACTGAACACCCTGCCTGGTGGTCTAGGACTCAGGTATTCTCCTGCTTCCCTTTTTGTGTGTGCAGATGAGCGCTAAGGCACAGAGGTGAAGTGACCTGCCCAAGGCTCCCCAGCAAGTTGGAGTCCAAATTGGGTACCCTGAAAACCAGGTACTGATAGCTCTTTCATGCTAGACCAGCGGGGGGCAGTGCAGCGGTATGTATAAAGGTTCTGGAAAAAGCTGCTCAGATGAAGTGATGGAAGGGGGCCCCTGGCAGCTGCTCTGGCTGCCATGTGCTTCTTGATTGGATGGGAAAACCTACAGCTCGCAAGGAACAAGGACTTTGTACCTGGGCCCCGCAGAACCCAGGGACCTAACTTTGCTGAGCTGTCCAGGCTCCTATTCTCCTAACGGATGGATTTCAGGGAGCGGTGGCAGATTTGGAATCAGCTAGGCTGTGGGGACCCTCCTGCAGGGTGAGAGCCCAAGACGAACCAGGCCAGCCTAGAAGACAACAGGGAGGTGGGACTGGGCAGTCCCCTGAGGGCAGGTGGATGGACTAAGTCTGGACAGCGTTACAGCACTTAGTTTTGGTTCCTTTTGAACATTCGAGGCCTTGGTCCCGTTGGGGATGGGGGTGAGCATGCGTGGAGTCCGTTTTCACAGCTTATAAACAGTACCTGTCCTAGCATGGCTTTGGAAGTTAAAAAATGACTGCCCTGGCAGGTGCTTTCCACAGGTGTCTATCTGGAATCCACTAGATCAACCCCCATCGTTTGTGTCAGCTCCCTGTTGTGTAAAGGAACAGCATCTGAGCTCTGGTAACAGGAATAAGGTTATCTCCTCTGTGCCCATTGGTGGAAACCGGGCAGGGCACAGCCTGTGCCTGAACCCAGCAGATGCACCAGCCCTCACCTCCCTAGGGTCTTTATTTAGTCCTAGGCACTGAGGCCAACCCCTTTGAAGCCTGACACAAGAGCCTACAATTTTCTGCACCAGAATGAAAAATAAAGGGTTTTATTGTAGGCCCAGAGACATATAAGGGTGTGACACGGCAAATCTCTCTGAAGCAGGGAAGGCACAGTGCAGGGTTGGGGGTAGGAGGAGAGGAACTGGATTGCTCACTACACTAATATATAGCTGCTGAAAAACTGGTTAATTTTTTGAAAAGTGAAAAATGACAGTAGCAAAATCATGAAATTATCATCTGAGCCAAAGCCGGCAATGTAGCCGAGTGAGAAGGTCCCCGTGGTCTGTCCCCATGGGTTAATTCCAGACAGCATGGAAAAGTGCGTACCTCCCAGGCTGGAACATGGTTCCGGAGCGCCCGCAGACCCAATGGGGATCGGAGTCCTGCCTCTGATTCCCTCAGGAAACACTTTCCCGCCCCTCCCCACCCCCCCACATCAGCCCCTGAGACCGAGGTTTGGCACTGTTCCAGGGTTGCCCTGGCACTGAGACAGGCCCTGTGGAGGGCCCTATGCCTAGGAGCCAGTGGAGGAGCAGCGCTGCAGGAGCAGGGTGTGGCAGCTGTCGCACACGCGCACGGGCTTGGGGTAGGAGGGCAGGGCCAGCTCGTTGCTGGAGCACATGTTGCAGAAGATGTGGCCACAGTGGCGGCAGTGGTGCTAGAGAGCGGAGAAGAGGCAGTCACAGTAGGCCTTTGGAGGTCTGGCCCTCCCCCAGAAGCAGGTGTCGAAGTGGAAGGGGTCCTGGTCAACCCTGGTTTCTAGGTTTGTGTTCCTCTAAGGGCCGTGAGGTACTGGTAGAGGGCGTGCCTTTGTGTGTCTGCATGACTGAGGCTCTCCTGCTCTAGCACGTGTCTTACTGGGGTGGCTGGTGGGCCCTGTCCCCTGTACTCCCTGCAGTCAGCTGGAAGAGACTCCAGGTTTCTTTAGTCAATGCTGCCTGGTGGCGGGCAGCTGCCTAAGCCCTGGGCACAGGTCAAGACAAGCATCCCTGAGCCTGCCTCCCTCAGGCTAGACACTGGACCTTGACCTCAGGGTGGGGCCAGGTGTGGGGTAGCCTCAGGACCTGCGGTGAGGCACGGGTGAGGATTTGGGGATTTGGGGATGGATGAAAATGCACCCCCATGCGGTACTGTTTGCTGGCAGGGGAGGGGTCTGTGGCCTTGCCCCCCCTCGTCCTGCCGAACTAGTTCAAAGCCTTGTCGACCTTGGGCCAAAACTCACCTAGTGTTCTCAGTTACTGAAAGATTGGGTGGGGACAAGCAGGAAGGCTTGTGTGCGTGGGCCAGGACCCCAGCGGGCACGGTCACAGTGCAGTAGCCCTGACCCACAGGCACCCACAGAATGGGCGGAAGGGGCCCTCCAGGAGCTGGTGGGAGACCTGCCCCATGTACCTTTCTCCGGGAGATGGAGAACTCCTTCTCACACTGCTTACAGTGCGTTGCCTCGTCGTCCTTCAGCCACGTGTGGCCCTGAGGGGGAGAGACCACAGAGAAGCTCACTTTACGGCAGTGGCCGGGCCACTCTTCTAACAGTGCTTTGGAGGGAGGGTGGCCTCTTCACGCACGACGCAGCCTCCCAGGCTGTGGGCGCTTGGGCTTCTGGGTCCCTGCAGGTCCCCTCTGGGCCTCAAGCCGGAGTCCCTGGCTTCCTGTCACCCTGAGCCTCTCCCACCCCTTCCTTGGGCTGAGGTAGCAGAGTTGGGGTCTGAGGAGGCCTGCTCCACGGCGGCTGCTGGCTGAATGGGGTGGAAGGAGGGGCCGGGCCCATCACAGACCACATCGACCTGCCACTGTGCCCCTGCCCACACGCTAAGCCTCAACCCTCAGAGCAGAGCAGGGAGGCGGAATCTGAGGCTTTAAAGCGCCTTTCTGGAGATCTAAAGGAAAATGAGAATGTGCCATTAATTCAGCCCCAGGAACTAAATGCTCAAATGATAAGCTTTTCTGGCTCCTTAGCATCCTTTAGCCATCACTTTCCCAGTGACAGAGTGACCTTAGGAGCTGCAGCGCTGGTCCCAACAGCTCCTTCCTGTGGTGCTGTCACTGACACATGTGGGCAGCAGGGACAGCAAAGATAAGCAGCTCATAGTAACCACATCCAAGGAGCTTTCCATCTATGAGGGAGGGTAAAGCTGGTGATGCTAAAGGACATGTCCGGGGCTGCCACCTCAGACCTGTGATTTGCCTGGGTCTCTGATCCAGCGGGGGCCTGAGGGCAGACATGCCTGTCCCAGGCAGGCCACCCCTTCCTCTCGCCCGTCTCTACCTGGCCAGATTGGCACCCATACTGGGTCATCTGGTTCATAGGTTCCTGCTTCCTCCCCTGGAGATAGTCCAGAAATGTGGCCCAGCTCAGGGCCTGGGCCTGGGCTTGCGTGGTCCTCAGAAGCAGCACAGAGCACTGCAGCAGGGCAGGGTGGCTCTGGGCCCCTGCACTTACAGGGAGAGGTCTCATGCTCCCTATTTAAAAATCCCAGGTCTCTTTCTGCCACTTTCTGTGTCCTTGATTTGGGCACCCATGCCTTAGGCTCACTGCCGACCCACGGCGGCTAGCTGAGAGGGGCTGGAATCAGGACCCAGGTGCTGGGCTGGGCCCTGCCACCCATCAGCATCACGTGTCAGATCACGTGGTTCTGGGCAGCACTGTCTGACCTGTCAACAGGTGACAGCCACCCCTGCCGCCTCTAGGACACTTCCTCACCTGACTTGAGAACCTGAGCATACACAGAGCATGAGCTGGGCTAAGCTGGAAGCAGTGTCTGATGGTAATAATGTTAATAATCCAGTACCTTCAGTGCCTTGTTTACTTCCTTGATGTCTTCCATCTTGAGCTTTGACCTTAAAAAAAAAGAAAAAGAATTTACAGGTGAGAGAAGCTCTCAGATGCAGCAAGTCCACAGTGACTGTCTGGTTTGGGGAGGGTGACGGGTCTTAGAGCAGTTCCAGAACACAGTTTTCACCTTTTATCATCCCAGAGTCGTATCATGCTGGCTCATGCCTGCCACACTCTGAGGCTGAGCCTGTGACCAAATGTGGCCCAAAACACAGACTGTCAGCCCGTAAGTTTTAAAAAGACTTTGAAAGGGGATTTCCTGGGTGGCTCAGCAGTTTAGCGCTTGCCTTCAGCCCAGGGAGTGATCCTGGAGTTCGGGGATCGAGTCCCACATCAGGCTCCCTGATGGAATCTGCTTCTCCCTCTCTGTCTCTCATGAATAAATAAAAAAAATCTTTAAAAAAATAAAGACTTTGAAATACTAGGGACCACTTAAAAATTGAGAATAAGGGATCCCTGGGTGGCGCAGCGGTTTGGCGCCTGCCTTTGGCCCAGGGCGCGATCCTGGAGACCCGGGATCGAATCCCACGTCGGGCTCCCGGTGCATGGAGCCTGCTTCTCCCTCTGCCTATGTTTCTGCCTCTCTCTCTGTGTTACTATCATAAATAAATAAAAATTAAAAATTGAGAATAATTTCCTAGAGTCAGGTTTCTGGCTTCTCTGGGCAACCTTCCTGCATGGGACATGTGCTTGAGTGGGGGTGTAGGGCTTCTGTGGGGTGGGACTCCAAGTCTGCAGGGCTGGCCTAGCCCCTCCTACTGCTTGCTCCACCTATAATCCTCCTGCACAGAGGTCAGGGCCGCTTGCTGTTGCCCTAGCTCCTGAGCTGTCTACACAGAAGACAGGCCTGAACATGGTCTAAACTGGTAGAACTGAACCAGTGTGTATTTCTAACTGTGGGGTGGGGCGGGGGCCTGAGCCCTTTTGTGAAAGCTGAGATTGGCCGACACTGTCAGTGGGGTTAACCTGATCTAAGTGTCAAGAGTGGCAGGGTTCTGAGCCACGAGACTCAAGGGCTGGGAAACAGCGCTAGGGCCTTCGTCCCACCGGGAGCGGCTCAGACCAGAGGCTGCTCAGATGGCAGCCTGAGTGTGCAAGCACATCCCTGGGAATCCCAATTGGGGAAGGGCCCGGATGCTGCCGAAATACAGAACCTGGGCCGTGCATCCAGCTGGAGGAGGGGAGGGATATGAGGAGAGCCCTGTCCTCCTATCACGTGGTGTGGGCTTGCAAGATGCTGGGGTGGGGGGAAGCAGCTCCTTGGGGACCCCTGCCCATGTCCTATGCTCCTGACATGGCGAACCCTACGCAGCCTGATGAGGGATGTCTGGGACATGCGCCACTGCTGTGTGTTCCCTGCTGCTTCTGGGTCACTGTGCTTGGGGCAGGCGCTAGAAGAGGATGCTTGTGGCGCTGTGGGAGCCCAAGCCACCTGTGAGGGAGCAGCGGATGGACAGCCAAGGTAGGAGTGAGACATGGGTTCCGGATGGCTTTTTTGGCTCAGTATGTGAGTTGGATTTCTGTCCCTCTGTAACCATGAATCCTGACTCATAAGGGGATAAGGCTCCCCCAACCATCACACAAATAGGCAAATCCTACCATGCAGAGACTGTGACCTATCAGATGGGCAGAGCAACCTGGCGGGACTGGGACACCAGGGTGGACAGGTGTCAAGTCAAAGGAGAGGCAGAGGTTCCAAGGTCTGTGCTCCTTGAGCAGCACCAAGGACAGACTAACAGATGCTGGCAGGTGAGAACATCCAGAAAGGGAGGTAGGGATTTGTGCTTACCCTGTGGGGGGGCTGGAACCCTCAAACCATGGGGCCTCATCTGGTCTAACTGCAGCCCAGCCAGCACCCTGCTTGCTGCCCCTGCCCACCTGGCTCCCTTGCGACCTAGAGGCTGAGCTAGTGGACAGGAGGGCTCACCAGGGGGATTTCTGGATGCCTCAGTTGATCGGCGCTGGGCTCTGAGGCCTGACTTCTCCTGGGAGGTCGCCCTCCAACACTTGGCAGGCCCCCGGACCAGCCCTTCCTCTTGTGAACAGCAGAATTTGGTCTGGGGCCCAGTGGACAGGCTAGTGTGACTGTTGGGGTGGGGGGAGTGGTGGCCCTGACGCAGGTGGGAGGGCAGGGAGGGTGGGCTTCTTACTGGCTGAGGTGCAGGCCCATCTCCTGGAGAGCTTGCTCCTGCTCGTCACAAACCTTCTGCAAGTCTGCCTTCTCGTCCTGGAGCTCCCGCAGCTCCTAAAATGGACCAATCGGAGGCTTGTCACCCTGATGGCAGCAGCAGGGAGGTCAGGATGTTTTTCAAGAACAAAGAGCAGTTTTGTGGAGTTGATCTCACTCGAGCAGGGGTTATTTTGTGGATTACCTCTGCTGAGTGGCTCTCCTGTCCCAGTGCTGTGGGACAGGAGAGCAGAGGCCCTCACGGGGTGAACCAGGCCTTGCCGGCTGAGTGACTATAAAAGACTATTTAAACAGAGAATGGCCTCTACACCTGCACAGCCACGACTCCTGCAGAAGCACAGCGAAGGCTTATCTAAAGAAACTGATTTCTGGGAAGGGCAGGTCTGTTGGAAACGGTCTAAGACACTTCCTGGGAGTGAATGACCAAGGCTGACGGAGGCCACATGTGAAATCTCATTCATGGCCTAAGAATGGAAAGCCTTCTGGAGCCCCGAGACCACCTGTGCATGTGGGCAGTGAAGCTCACATGTGGACACCCGCTGCCATCTGTGTCCTGTGCCCCTTGAGGACACAGGCTGGCGACGGCCCAAATACCCAGGAGAGTGATTTGGGGTTCAGGGCTGATGAGGGGGAGCCTGAGTGGTGGGCACCTCCCTCCCAGCTGCCCTGGGGCCTTCTCCCTGAAAACCTGATGACACAGGCACATGAGGGCCCTTTGACCACGTTATATGTAGTTTGTTTCTTGTGTATGTAAGTGCAGGTGGGGGATGGGGAGGGTGTGAAATTCAAGTGTTAGACCAAAGAGAGCCTCAGAAGCCCCCAAGGAAGCTCTTCCCCTCCCCAGTGGGCTCCTCTGGGAGAGACTCTTAGACACTTTCCAACAAAGATCAAAGGGGGTTGGTTGGCTCATTGGGGCCGTGCAGCAGCGCCCATCACCACGTTCAACACAATGAAATCCCCAAGGGTCCTCTGCTAGGGCAGGTGTGCAGCGGATGGTGTACCAGTCCTGCTGGGAGCAGCTGTGGAGGCCACAGACACCCCCTAGCAACCCTGGCAGCAGCCGGCTCTCACTGGCACTGTGGGGGAGACAGCTGGGGATTTTATCCTGAGGAGAACTCACAGCCTGCCTGGGGCCCCTGGGGGGCCTATTCTGCAGGCAAAGATGCCCTTCGGGTAACCTACTTCCCCATGCACTCTGAAGCCTTTGCCTCAAGATCCAGGGCTCACCTTCTCCAGAGAACTGAGGGGACTCCAGAGAGACACTAGACTCAGGTCTTGTCTAGCGGGGTGGAGGGTTCTGGTTAGCTTGGCTTCCCAGGCGTGGCCCAAGACCAGAACCAGATGGTTCTGGGGAACCAGGATAGCCAACCCTGGGCAGTGGCCAAGCCCCTCTCGGGGGAAGCCGTGGACTGGCACTTGCTGTAAAGTATTCACGTTTACTGTTTCCTCTCCTGCAAGCCCAGCCCCCATCCACACAGTAGCTAGTGACCATCCTAAAACCGAAAGGGATCCAACAGCTTCCTACTGCGCTCAGGATAAGATCCAAATCTCTTCCAGAGCCTTCGGGGGCCCATGATCAGGGTGTCCACCCAAGGCTGCAGCTCCAGTGCCTCCTTCCTCCACTCGCCACTACTCGGCCTCACTGCTCTCTGCTCCTTCTCCATGACAGACCTTCACGCTTCCTGTGGCCTGAAAGGTTCCTGGCTTGCATCTCTCCGTGGCTGTCCCTGGGGCGTCATCCGAGCCTCCTCCCTGGCACTCTTCCCGGACCCCCTCCCAGTGCAGCCATCTCCCTGTGTTATTGCACCCCTAGCAGGGCTCCAAGTGGCCAGGCTTCCTGGAGATGCCGGCAGCTCTTCTCCCCAGGATGGCTGCCTTACCTTTTTTAATCCTTCCACTTGCTGTAACTCGGCTCGGAGTAGGGAGGAAGTGTCTTTCTCCTGTTGTAATTCTCGCTGAAGAGCCTGTCTCTGCTCTTTTTCTGATTTCAACTCTTTCTCTAGACTCGAGCTGTTTTCCCAAAATGAACTTGAGTTAGTCTCAGAGGGAGAGGTGAATGGAAAATGTACAACCTCCAACACATTTTCCACCTGGGAAATGGGAATTCATAGCAATCAGAACTGCCATACGGGTGTTTGAACCCGTCACCTGCAGGGATCCGTCTGCCCTTCTAGAGGGGACACCAGGACCCTGCAGGGAAGCAGGGCAGGCACACACTTGATCCCACGTGAGTGGAAAGAAAGGAAAAGCACCCTAAACACTTTCTACTAAGGGGGGGGGGGACTGCAACACGTGCTCTGCTTTCTCTAACCCACAGCCAGCTTCCACTGGAGGACACAGGATGGGGGTGGGAGAGAGCTACTGCACACCTCCTGTCACCAGCTGCGGGGCCCAGGGATGTTCCTGAACCCCAACCCTCTCCCTGGAACTAGTGCCCTCACTTATGGAAGGGGACACTGGCACTTCTCATCACTGGGCTGGACACGTTCAGAAGGGAGCCCCCAGGGAGTGCCCCCTCCCCTTCACCTACCACTGCTCATGTAGCTGCGAGAGCTGCTGCTGCAGTGCGCATGTCTGGCCGCCCAACTCCTGCTGCACCTTGAGGCTCCGCTCCTCTGCCCCTTGCCGTGCCCTTTCTGAGAGCTGTAACCTGCACCCGAAGAACCAGGTGTGCGTGAGAAAGCTGCCCTCATGACTGACGACTGGCGGTGGTAGTGTACCTTTTCAGACTCCTGTGGCTTGGGTTTTAAATACACAAACAGTAAAACTAACTCATGGCTATTGCAGCAACCAGGAGGATCAGGAGACCAGGACACATAACAGCTCTGTCACCCTGGAAGGCTCCCTAGCGCTCCCCTCTGTAGTCACCCCTAAACCCTGGCAACCACTGATCTGTTCTCTGATACCATGGCTTTGTCTTTCCAACAATGTCCTTCAAATGGAATTATTCCTCCTATAACCTTTTGAGACTGTGGCTTCTGCTCAGCATGGTATCTGAGATCACTCTCAGTCTGGGTATTAGTGGCTCCTTCCTTCCAACGGGCCAGTATTATTTCACTGTATAGAGTGCTGGTTTGTTTATCCTTCACTAGATGAAAGACTTCGGATGCACTTCTAGGTTTGGCAACTATGAACAGACCTGCTGTATAAATGTTTGTGTAGGAGTTTTTGTGTGAGCATTAGTCTTCACTTTCCTTGGGAAGGTCCTATGGTAAGGGTATGTTTAAGCTTTAAAAGACTGTTTCCAAAGTGGCTGTACCATCTTGCATCCATGCAGGTAATGTAGGGGAATTCCAGTCACTCTGGAGTCTTCTCAGAACTCACCACTATCATTAAAAAGCTCTGGCTGTTCCAGTAGGTGTGCATTGGTACCTCTATGTGATAATATGCGCAGCCCTGATGGCTAGTGACAATGAATATCTTTTTATGTGCTTGCTTGCCATCCATATGTCTGTCCTTTTTGGTGAAGTGTGTGTCCAAGACTTTTGTCTATTTTTAAAGTGGGTTGTTGAATTTTGAGAGTTCTTTATATATTCTGGATACAGGTCGTTTGTCAGTTATGTGATCAATTTGTGGACATTATCTCCCAATCATTAACAGTTTTATTCTCTTAACCATGTCTTTTTTTTTTTCTTCTTTTTCTTTTCTTAATCATGTCTTTCACAGAACAAAAGTTTTACATTTTGATCAAGTCCAGTTTATCAAGTTTTCCTCCCATGGACCCCAGGCTTTCATGTCTTGTCTAAGATCTCTTTGACTAATCCAAGGCCACAAAAATTTTCTATGTTTTATTCTATAAGTTATAAATTTTAAGTTTTCCATTTTGACTTATGATCCCTGTGCAGATGATTTTTGTATGATGCATGAGATATAGACTGAGGTTCATTTTCTTAAAGTTTATGGATGTCTGATTGTTGCAACATCATTGATTAAAAATACTTACCTTTCTCCACTGAAATGCCTTTGCACCTTTATAAGAAAATCAGTTGCCACATTTGTGTGGGTCTGTTTTCAGACTTTTGTGATCCACTACTGATTGATGTGTAAATATGACAGTGACAAAGAGCTCACTGTATAGGTCTGACCCCCTGAGAAGACAATGTGATAGTCACTCAAACATTGGTTAAAGGAATATACACTTAGGCAAGGCTGGCAATCAGCCCCCTTGCTCAGCAGGACTAGGTCCCAAAGGACCACCGGAAGGAAGTTGTCTGTCCTTCTGAGAGAGACTTCAGGTCCAGAGAATGTCCCATGTGTTCTAGGGAGTATTTGCCAGGGGGAGTGATTACCTTTCTTCCATCTGTTTCATGCTGGACATAACTTGGTTGTTTTTTTCTTCAAATGATGTGATGGCGTCATTCTTCTGCTGTAAACAGCTCTCTGCATTCTGCCAAGGCAAGGAAAAGGGGTCATACTCTGCCTCTCTCTTACCATTGTGCCTACTCGGAATTAAGAGCAGGTTTGATTTTATCCTCTGCTTTAACAACACTTTCGGGAGCATTTCATTAATTGCTGCTCTTCCCCACAATGTGGGTCACAGCTCCCAGCTTCATCAACACAAAGAAAGGCCCTGAATGAAGTAATGAGCCTTTCCTCTACGAAAGGTTCATGTTTCTTTTTCAAAAAGGAACTTCAGAGTGGGATCTGACCATGTTACTGAGCTGTTCCCATGTGCCCAGCATACAGGTGAGCTCATCTGGCCTTGGAGGGATGGTTAGCCCCCTTCTCTGGGCAAAGGGAGGCTCAGAGAGCGCGCCTGGGTGGAGACTAGCATGGATGAGTGGTGCAACAGGTTCACACCTGCAACTATGTGACTTCTGAATCCAGGCTTTGAACCAGGGCAGGTGCTGAGGGAGCAGGTGGACAGGGTGTGGCAAAAAAGCACATCTCTGTGTGTCTACAAGAAGACACTCCCCAACCCCTCTCCCCAGCAAGCTTCATTTGAGAGACAGTGTGCTCACAGGTGTGTGTGTGTGTGTGTGTATGTATGTGAGGGGCAAAGAGAGAAGCAGATTCCATGTAGGATGCAGGGCTCTATCCCAGGATCCTGAGATCAGGACTTCAAAATCAGATACTTAACCAACTGAGCCAAGAGACACTTTAAAAATAAAAGTTCTTGGGGATCCCTGAGTGGCTCAGCGGTTTGGTGCCTGCCTTTGGCCCACGGCGTGATCCTGGAGTACTGGGATTGAGTCCCACATCGGGCTTCCTGGATGGAGCCTGCTTCTACTCTGTGTCTCTGCCCCTCTCTCTCTCTGTTTCTCATGAATAAATAAAAATCTTAAAAAAAAAAAGTTCTAATACATTGTTAAGAATAATATACAGACTGTATTCTTGGATCTTAATCTAAAACAATTAGACATTAACAACAAAACAATGACTAAAACCCCCTCATATCTTGGAAATGAAACTAAATGGCATATTACTAGAACCATTGAGCTAAAAATATAAACCAGAGGAATAATTATGAAATAGTCAGAGGTAAAAGCTAGTGAAAACATTATGCAATATTGTGTGGTACTGAAGATGTACTGAGTGTTAAGATGGGTCTTAATTTTATATACTACTAAGAAAGAAAAACCTGGTACTTCGAACACATCATGCCACTGACTCTAAGATGCATCTAGGTTTCAGAGATGCTAAGATGTGAAAAATGTGCTTCTTAGATGATATGCTTTTGTTAAAATTTGAGGACTACAACTAAAGCTGCACTTGCGGGTAATTTTTAACTTCAAATAACATTTTTGTTATTTTTATTTTCTTAAGTAAATTCTGCCCTCAGCATGGGGCTCAAAGTCATGACCCTGAGATCAGGAGTCACACTCTATTGATGGAGCCAGCCAGGCACCCCCATATAACATTTTTTATGATATTAAAGAAAAGATAAAACGGATAAGCCAAGCATGCATTTCAGAGGTGAAAATGAAGTACAGAGCAAACGCAAAGAAATCAGAAAGAATATAATAAAAGTAAGGGTGGAAATCAACGAAAAACATTAAACGATAGACAATACAGAATATTAGGAAAAGAAGGTGGTTCTTTGAAAAGATTATTAGAGAAGACACTTCAGGCAAGAAGGGATACAGAAAACACAATCCAAGTAAGAAAATCCTGAATGAAAGAGATTTAAAAACTCTGTAAAAGAACATTATAAACAGCTCTGAGCTAAAACATTTGAGAACCTTAACAAAATACATTTTGTAAAAAATATATCAAAACTGTCCAGAGAAGAAATAGAAAGTACAAATAGGTTAGTAAGCATTTAATAAATTGAAATGGTCATCAGAGTCTCCCTGCTCCCAAAGCCTCAGACCCGGGCGAGTCCTGTTACAGAGGTGGGTTCTCAAAACTCTTTGAGAACAGACATTTGTTATCTTATATGAATAATTCCAGAGAAAGCGAGCTTTAAGAGAGCAGGAAAGCTTACGGTGCCAGCCCAACCTTCTGAAGGCAAATAAGGTTAGTAAGAGGAAAGATAACTAGAAGTCCACCTAAAAAATAAACATCTATATTATATACAAACTATTGCTAATGGTACTGAGTCTATTTAAATATATCATAAGCAGGTAGGATTCCAGGAATGTTAATCAATATAAATTACAACATAAATAAAGAGGAAAAAATATTATGATTATCAAAAGAGATACAATACAGAGGAAAAAAAGCATTTAATAAATACAATACTCAATCATGATAAAACTTCTGAGCAAACAAGAAACAGAAGTGAACCGCCTTAACTCACTGAGGATCACACAGCAAACATCTAGCAAGCATTACAGCTAATGGAGAAGCTTTTAAATACATTCCTTTTAAGATCAGGACCTCAAGTTTGCCCATGGTTTCTGCTACTGCGTAATGTAGTCTTGGACAGCCTGGCCAATGCTCTAAGAAACAAAAACTGAAGGTAAAGAAATTAAACTCTATTTACCAATGATATGATCAATTACACCTAAAGCCAACAGATCAACAGAGAACTGTCAGGTCCTGGTGATGTGCAAAGGTGCTAACAGAAGATCAAGCGCGCAAGCACACGAGCTCTTTCCTGTATCAGTAAGACCAACCTAGATGATACAGCAAAATTAGGCACAGTCACATGAGCAACAACAATTATAATCCAGGAACTCACCTGGAGAAAATGTAAGACACTTATCCAGTAAAAAGGACAAAAAAAAAAAAAAAAGAAGAGAGAGAGAGAGAGAGAGAAAGAGTATGTGACTCAATGAAAAGCTATCCCATACTCTTGGGATGGAATGACTTTTTATACTATGGAGATCAATTTTTTCTCGAATTAACCTATAAATCCAATGTAATCCCTATTTATGAAATTCAGTTGAATTTTTTTTTTTTTTTTAATAAATTTACTCTGGGACCTCCTACCTTAATCCTGGGCTCCAGTCCCACCTGCCCCTGCTGCTTGTACTGCTCCAGCCTGTGGGTCCAGTCACAGCTTGGTTCAGGCTGGATTATTTTTAAAAAAATTTTTAAAAAGATCTCTTTATTAGGGACGCCTGGGTGGCTTAGTGGTTGAGCATCTGCCTTTGACTCAAGAACATGATCACAGGGTCCTGGGATTGAGTCCCACATTGGGTTCCCTGTGAGGAGCCCGCTTCTCCCTCTGCCTGTGTCTTTGCCTCTCTCTCTCTTTCTCTCATGAATAAATACATAAAATCTTAAAAAAAAAAAAAGATCTCTTTATTTGAGAGAGAGAGAGAGAGAGAGCACTCACACACACAAGTTGAGGAGGGGCAGAGAGGGAGAGAGAATATCCCAAGCAGACTCCCTGCCAAGTGTGGAGCTCAAATCCCACAACCCTGAGATCACGACCTGAGCCAAATCCAAGAGTCAGCTGCTCAACTGAACTGCCCAGGTGCCCATCAGCTTGATTTTTAAAAGGAACTTTATAAACTGTTCTAAAATTTGCGTCAAGAATAAAGGTTTACAAATAGAGTCAATCTTAAAAAAAGGAGGGGGAGGGAATAGGGGGGAAGGAGGGCAGGCTTGTTCTCTGTAATGGGTTGAGTTCTGTACCTCTCAAATCTGTACATGGCAGTCCTAACCCCTAGTACCACACAACATGACCTTATTTAGGAAGTGGGCCATCATGGACATAATCAGTGAAGATGGCATCATAGTGCAGTAGGGTGGGCCCTTAATCCAGTATCACTTGTGTCCTTGTTAAGAGGGGAAGTATGGACACAGTCATGCCTGCAGGATCGTATGTCAAGTGAAGGATTACATATGGTGGTCAGCAACCACCATGAGCCAAGGAGCCAGGGGTGCTCCGTCCGGTCTTCCTCACAGCTCTCAGAAGAAGGCAACTGTGCTGACACCCAAAGTCAGACTACTGGGCTCCCGAATGCAAACCAATGCAGCTCTGTCAAGCCACTTGGTCTTTGGTACTTCGTTACAGCAAGCCAACAGACATGAAACTTACTACACAGAGCAGTGCTGATTAGGTAACTCAAACAGGTAGACAGACTCAAGAGAGACCTCAGGGGCAGTTCCCCTCACATAGGAACCTGATCTACGATCAGGGCTGGCACTGCCAATGTGAACGAGAAAAGAGAGGATTAGTTTTGTGGTGGCTGACTGTGTAGAGAAAACCAAAAGCAGATCTGTAAGACTGAACATGAAAGTTAACTCTAGATAGTTTCAGAAACCTATCTGTCAGGTTCATCAAACTAGTGTAGAATGTCTTTGACACACAGGCTTGGGAAAGGGCTTCTTAAAATCCCAACTTCAGCCCATGACGTGAAAAGTTAGCACACCTGGCTACATAAAAAATAAGGACTTGAGGACACCAGAGGAGGAGGAGAGGGGATATACTGTATTCGAGGAAGTAAGGGACTGATATCCAGACTACATGCAGAATTAATGCTAATCGGAAAGGACAAGACAAGGGGAGGCTCTAAGACGGTGATGCACAAGACCGTAACCTCTCCTCCTCCAGACACACCAAACCTACACCAACACCTACTGTGATTTCCCCCTAAGAACATAGAGCTGACCAAACAGTTTCTGCACACCAAACAGAGGGACCACACGGAGAAGGGCAGGAGAGGTGGGGACACAGGACGGTAACCCAACCCTGGTGTTGTACCTGTGGCAGGGTGGGAGAGCACCAATTGGCCTATGTGCATGTGCACCTGCCCTGGGGCACGGGGAAAAGCTGCAGTTTAAAATGGTAGCTGGATTGTGCTGGATTGTGGGTGAACTCCCAGAGTATCTGCCAGGCTCTGGGGGAGTTTGCTGGAATGCTCCCCAGTTGCTGGGGAGCAGGCGCTGGTGAGGACCATTGTTGATGGTCCCCCTTCACCTTGATAGCACAAACAGCAGTGTGGTCCAGCCATTCTGGACAGCCCAACACCTCAGTGAGCCCCAGTTCCC